TCAACCGAACGTCCGATGCGCAGCCACTTAGTAAAACGCACAGCCTGCATCCTATCCACCATGATCACATTCTCGACACCGCGACGAATCGGAATCGATGCGAAACGGCGAGCCAACGAACGAGCGCTCTTGGTCAGAAACGAGACGGTTTCCTTCCAGCGCTGAAGAGCGACGTCGAATTTTTTACCAACACAAAACGCCATACTTGCGCTATGAATAAATTTGCGTAGTCCTCGCGTGGCCATATCAACGTCATACCGCATCCAACTTATCAATTCGAGTCGGATTCTCGCCTGAAACTTGTTTCGGTGAGGAGAGGAGATTGTGAGAATAGTAAAGATCGAACATATTATAAGGCAACGTTACATTTATCGAATCATTAAACTAACTCTACTATACATCACGAGTCGCTGACGGTAAAAATATGTAATGTCCCTTACGCATCACATTGCTAAAGAGTGCACGATTTGAGGACCGAGTAGAGAATCTTTATTGAAGTTGCTGAGTCGTCGTCTCATGTAATACTTGTACTCTGGAAAATGATCGTAACCGGCGATGTGTTTTTACGATTGTGTCCATAGAGGTTTTGAAATCAGTCGTAGAGAGCACAACTGATCAGTTGATCATCGTGCGCTAACAACATACTATATACCTAATCGTCCAGAGCGGTGGTTGGATTCAAGTGCGTTTCTAGAGCGATCGCGCTGAAGGACCGCTGCACGAAATAAAGTTCTGCTCCTTTCCTCAACACTATATTTTCTGGGCGATCCTACTCGCGCAATAATTCGCACAATCCTTGAGTCGACCATTCTACAGAGCGATAACTCAAGTTATTAAAGGTTGTGACGTGGTAACTTGGAGCATTCGTTACAAGGGCGGTGGCCTTCGAAAGAGCTCGATCGCGAAAGGTTGACGCCTTCCCCGCGAGCGTTTAATTAAGTCGGCAAGTTATTTGTAGGTTTATGAAATAGCGGAGACCGCGCGCCGCGGGCGCACGGGGATTGTCAAGGAGAGTCCCGCGTCACAAGTGGCATGTATAACTCCGCTCTGAATGGCGGTGAGAAGCGGACGAAGCGTCAACCGCCGGGTGGAGGAGCAGAGGCCACCTGAACCTCCCGCCGGGCCCCGTGGACTCGACTCGCTCTGATCTTTTGGCCGCTGTCGAGGAGCCGCTGCCGGGATCGCTTGGGCTATCGTTCCGACTCTTCTGAAGCGGTAAAACCGGCGGGCCGAGGTCGCGCACAAGGACGATCCAAAGCCAGGAGCCGCGGCACCGCGCCGGGATACTAAGGCCGGAGGTAAAGCGGCGGAGCAGGAGGCGAATGGGTAACCGCCGGCAAAAATCCGACTGTCGAAGAGGGGCGAACTTCGAAACCAGGAAGGAGAGGGGAGCATCTGTCTAAAATCAGCAGACTGTTGCGCGTCCGTAACGTCGCGGGTAATGTGGGGTGCCCGTACAGTGCGGTAGAGCAGGAGGAGGTGGTGAGGTGAGGTAGTCAATAAAGTGTTTTTTGATTAATAGAAAACTGAACTTGTCTTTATTACTTGATCGCCAGATACAATATCACGTACGCGTCCGACAGCGTGTCGGTACCTAAGAGTTGAGAGTTAGAGTCGCCTGATACAATATCACGTACGCGTCCGACACCGTGTCGGTACCCGTGAGTTGAGAATTTAGAGTCGCCCGATACAATATCAAGTACGCGTCCGAAAGCGTGTCGGTACCCGAGAGTTGATAATTTAGAGTCGCAACCGCACCGGTCTTAAGTCCCCTTTTATCCTCTTCCTATGTCTTAATCAGAGGGAACGGTGTTGATGTATCAGTGTCATCTAAAGGAGGACGATGACCATCCTGATTTCGACATCTCTATTGCAGGAATGCCAGGTTGCACTTCTGCATAGCGACGTTTGGTAATTCGGAGCCGTGGCCCCGTTTATGGTCTTTGACATATTTTATCGTTGCGCTTACCACAAGACTCCCCGGCGAAGGAGAATTCTCTTTGTGTCGTGCGATATCAGCTTTCCGTGAGATTTTTCTTCGGCTGCGTTTCGTGAACATAGAAAAGTTGTTGGCGGGAGAGAGAGTGCGAGCGAGCGAGAGAGAGAGAGAGAGAGAGCCGGAGCACGGTCAAGGAGGGAGAGAGAGAGCCGGAGCACGGTCAAGGAGAGGGCGAGAGAGAGAGAGAGAGAGAGAGAGAGAGGACGAAGATTCTTCAGAGAGGACAAGGATTCTCAAGAGCCAGCCGCCAGGAGCCCGATTTTGTAAGGCCGCCTATCTGCATTCTATTTTTGTCGTTGTAGGCTTATCGTAGAGCGCCGTGGGAAAAATCGCCCCGCGGGTGCAGGGTCCTCTCCACCTTGACTCGGCGATCGCTCGAGAGGCCCGCCACTCTCAGCGGACTTCGCGGGTCCGCCGCGGTTCGGTTATCGTCGGCGAAGTCAATTGTATACCGTAAAGCGCTACACTAGAGCGCCTTGTCCGGTTGTCGCGAAGGTCAAATAAAGGCGTGCAAGCTTACCGAAGACGCTGTTCTCTTTTATTTTATTTTTTTTGTCGTTGATCCCCGGCGTGACCGTCCGAATCACCCCACCTCCGACTCAACTCACCCCGGAGCTGCCGGTCCCGATCGGGACGAACCCGGGTCGCGGGCCGACGCGCGGGCGGCTTCGCCGCCTGCGTAGGCCATTATTTAGTGTGTGCGACTTGCGCGCACTTGGCGCCCATACGGTTGAGAGGAAGTCTTCAGAGGCCCGCATACGATCTCGCGTTCTGGGTTCGCCCTTCGGTTTTGCGCCGCTAATTCGGACAAGCCGAACTTAGAAATCAGGTGGCAAGGTTGAATTCGAATTGTCAGTTATCGACGAGGACAATGTTGCGACGATGGTAAATCGTTTTTACCCTTTTGCGTGCATTTTACGGTTTGAACACATGGATCGTGCAAATCGTCAGCGATCGCGAGTTTGTTGATAGCACCAACGCTGTGATCAATTGTGCATTGCACGATCTCGCGCGATTCATCGGACATACAGATTCCGATAACACGGATACATCTTTCGTCTCGAGACCTTTGAAATTGACATGAGAATTGGAGCTTTCATGCAATTGAAAGCGTCAATATTTGCATTTACTACGATTGTATTTAATACAAAGTGAGGTACTGCCGTACGCACTTGGCAAGACGATGTATCTTCTGGTCCTGTTACTCTTCGACCGACTAAAACATATCCAGATTGGAACTTGGGGACTCGCCGGTCAAAACGTTGATCGCGCGAACTACGTGCTTACCGGTGCCGTATCGAGGGAAGGAGCCCTCATATAATATATCATTGTCCTCATGAAAACGGGGAACCGACTGAAAATCACGGCGCATCGATGCGTAATTCTCCGATTCAACAAAAGGAGAGTTTTCACTCGTTTCAAAAACAGAAGAGGTTTTACGCGTTTTAACAACACGACTGTTTTCACATGACAAATCCGGTAATTGAGACATTATTTGCAGCATTATGTTGAATTCGGGAATCGGGACAGCTATAATGCGATTCAGTGTCATCGCCGTGGTTGTCGCCTCATGAACCACGTTGTCCGTTGCCGTGGTTGCCGCGGTTGCCGCTTCAGTCGCCAGATTAAGCTTCAATGCCGCCACTGCACTGCTCTTGAAATCAAACATTTCAGACAACTCGAATCTTTATAACGCTGACTCAAGGGATTCGAAGTTACCATATAATTTAGCTACGGCAGTTTTGGCCATGCCTTTTAAGGCCGTATCATCCATTTAGGAGTTTCCATACATTCCCTCGGCAGTTTCGGCAATGCCATTTAGTATCACATCATTATCTTGGCAATGCCATTTAATACCGTATTACACATCTCGGAATTGCCATTTAATGCCGCCTGAGCCATCTCGGAGTTGCCATTTAATTCCATCTGAGCCATCTCGAACTTGTGTGCAAGACACGCCGTTGTCGTTTTCGCTTCCATCTGGGACACTCGAAGAAATACATTGTTACGCTCGCGCGGGGAAATAAAACAAGACAACATTAAGGGGTTACACCACAGAAGAAATTTCAAAAAATCGATTCTTTTTTTATTGGCTTAAAAAATCCCTTGAACCCTCTAGAATAAGAGACAAACGGTTTTATATCTGCCAGAAATCGTTTACATTGAAATTTCGAGCTCTTTCTCGACCCCTCCCGACTGCTCCGAAACGACTACCTGCGGTAAATACGACACCTGCTTTTCGGGTACAGCATTATGTCTTACCATTCGATTTCTAACTTCTCTAATACACTAATAGATGTCGTTAGAAACATTTTCAAGTATTTTGAACACAAAGTACGTTACTACAGTTAAGCAGGTTTCGAAGTTTTAAAAAAAATTTTATTTATTAAAAAATATTACAAAATGGCTGCCCAACAGCCGTTTCTGCGGAACGGTTTTTTTTGGAGGGGCTCCGCGGCACGCAGTAGAAGTGCAGCAAAAATTAATCTGGAACAAAATAAAAAATTTTTTTTTAAACTACATTAGTATAGCTATAGAAATACGTAGGGGATTTTTAAAATATTCATTTTTGTTAAATTGGCGAGAAATTGAAAAAAAAAGTTCATTTTACTACCAAAAAACGGGCACTTATTTGTACCTAAAAAATCGAAATATTAACTTATCGAAAATCGGCTACGTATTTCTATGCGGAATGTTGTTTTAAAGATGTGATATTAATTTGGAGTGAAAAAATAGAAAATTGTTTGAGTTATGCTGCGTGCCGATTTGAAAAAACGTGTTTCGAGAAAAACGCGTTTAAAGTTTTGACTCGTGTTTCAAACATAATAAAATAAAAATTTGGATTATTAAAAATTTTTTACCTTTAATCTGCTATTCCAGCACCGTAAAGCTGACCTTCCAGGTTGCTAAACTCCTCCTCGTTTTCTTTCCTGGACGCTTTTATGCTGGAGCGAGCCTCTTTCGCTGCGTCCGTCAAAAAGCGGTCCGCGTGTTGTATTCGAGCAGCTTCCGTCTCTAAGCAAAAGTTGTAGGATTGTGGTCCAATGTTCATGTCCATCACTTTCATTATTCTTAAAACGTTTATCAGTCCATCATTAAAATTACAAACAGCAATGTCACTTGCTATTTGTAATATTTTCTTTCCGCTTGAATAATTTTTAGGAGCCAAGTGCCAGACTGTAGAATTAAAACTTTCGTTGCTGTTCTGCGTATAGCCTCCCAAGCAACGATTCAGCAACTCGTCACGGCTCAAATCCTCGTAGATTGGTCTGATGGCTTCAAAAACTTCGTTCGATAGTGCCGGCTTATGATGAAAGGAGTCTAAGGAACCCGTTGCTTGCGCCTTCTTCCATTCGCACCAAGACTCTGAGCATTTTTCGTGCTGTGGATTTTCGTCAGTTGACATTTTATGAAATAATGTCGCCCAGATTTCATTTCTCATATTTTCCAACGAGTTTGAATTCCGTCGAATGGCCAAGCCATAATAAATTGTTAACTGATCAATTAATTTCATAGTTAATTTTCCTTTTCCTCCAAGATTTTTTGTTTTTTTTCTCAAATTTCTCAACCGAGTGCCCATTCGTTTTTGTACATGATCAATACATTCTTTTTTTGACACTTCAAAATTTTCATACGGTTTTGCATCCAATATCCCCTTGAAAGTTTTACTGTCACCATCACCTATATAATTTGCGTATTTAAGTCCGTGTAAAGCTTCGGAACGTTGAAACATCTCGATGACAGCATCTACCTCCATTTTACCCGATGAGCCTTCATGGTTCGACTGACATTGATCGGCATGAGTTTCGAGCCATTCTTCATACTCAGCAGTATCTAATTTATTTTTCCAGTGCTCGCAAGCTTTACAGTATTTCGATTTCACTTCAATGTCAACAATTTTCCCTGTAAACCATCCGATCAATGATGTGATCCCGAAAAGAGACGAAAATCCTCGTTTCCTCCAGGAACCATCACCAGATACAGTTATTCCTGTATGCAATCCATTTTCTTCACTTTTCTTCTTCTCATCTTCTGCTGCCTTTTTTATACTACAGTCTCGCACGGCTTTCGTTGCGATCAAAATCATATTTACTGCACGGTCGTAACAACTTTGAAATATAGGCCGTGGCAATTCCATAAATGCGCAGAATTTCATTATTCCAGCTAGCCCTACTCCTAATAGTCGCATTGTTAGTACAATCCTACGGTTAATTTCATATCCATTTCGTATGAATGGACAACTCGGGATTTCAACTTTTGGACAATTCGGGCAACAGACGGTTATTTTGAAGCCTAAACCCCGCGTACCTGATTCGAGAAATCGTATATCAGAGTTGCACGTTTTGCACTTCACATATTCCGAAATGGCAGAGAAAACGGCAAAAAAGTTTATAATTCGGTAACCAAATTCACTTTGTATATCGATATCGTCAGTATCCACTTTCAATTTCTTTGCCGAAGCTCTGACACCGGCCAAATCTTCCTCCGCTTCATATCTGTTCGACGGTCGTCGTTTTGTCGCGTTGCTCCGTCGCCGCGTCTGATACGATATTTTTGAGCCTTTATGGCTTGCATACACTTTCTTTTCACTCATTGTAACTCACATAAATGTCAAGGCTACAAATAACGTGTGAAAAATTAGCACTGCAAAAGAAAATCGTGATTTCGAATAACTTCCACGCAAAATTTACGTCTCCTCTCAACATCAAAGGACGCTGTACTAACGTACTTTGTGTTCAAAATGCTTGAAAATGTTTCTAACGACATCTATTAGTGTATTAGAGAAGTTAGAAATCGAATGGTAAGACATAATGCTGTACCCGACAAGCAGGTGTCGTATTTACCGCAGGTAGTCGTTTCGGAGCAGTCGGGAGGGGTCGAGAAAGAGCTTGAAATTTCAATGTAAACGATTTCTGGCATATATAAAACCATTTGTCTCTTATTCTAGAGGGTTCAAAGGATTTTTTAAGCCAATAAAAAAAGAATCGATTTTTTGAAATTTCTACTGTGGTGTAACCCCTTAAAAAGAATTACCTTTTTACTTTTCCTTCCACTTAAAAAAAAATCGCAAAAAAACGTTAAATTGTCGCTCTCTACTGTGGTGTAACCCCTTAAAAGGAAAACAACTTTAATTATATTTGATATTTACAAAGAAGCACGCGTAACTCGCAGGCTCAAGCTCTCTTTTTCGTTAAAGACCGTCGCGCACGTCACGACCACTCAACTGCCCCAGAATCTCTTAAATCCGTTGTTTATCCGTCAACGCAGATCATCTGTTGTTTACGACTCGTTGCCAAGAGAATCAGCTATACGGTCAGAGCGCTAAAAACGCGGGCATCTTAATACAAGCATAAGAATATATTTAATAGAGGGCAATATCGTTTAGTCAGAAATTATTTGCGGTCGACAGCCGCGTAATTCAGGCGATCCACTAGCGATTGGTAAGTTGACCGTTGCATCGTCGATGTCGCAGTCTCTCACTTCTCGATAAAATTTCTGCAGAATTCGCAGTGCGTCAGCTTTGCGGGCCACTGACACCGATTAAACGCATCTTTTGCTTTTCGTTCAAAGTGTCCGACAAACGAGTTCAAGGTTTGCACAGCGTTGTTAATTTTCTGCATTTTATTTCGAAGCGCGTCGAAGAAAAATTATAACTCAAAGCTTTGTTCAGCCGCCCTTTCGCGATGCACGCACTCGGTTATTCGGGTCACAGGTTCTTCAAGTTTGCGACTAGCAATGAGATGACCGATCTTTCGTACTTGTCGTGTATTCGATCCAGCGCGAAATGATAACGCTTACTTTTTTGTCACTGAAACAACGCGGACTGCTAGGCCATCTTTCCTCCTCAAATCTTTAATTCGAACTGAGCTCTGTCGCGTTATCCCGAATAAAGTAGGCACATTATCATCGCTTTGGCCCGATGTAATCTGAGCTTTGATTATTTTTTATCGTTTCGGGTACGGCCATGAATATCACAAGCAAGAATTTTTTTAATCACACGCTGGAAGCGGCATAATTAACGCTCCTGGGCGAACTGTCCAACAAAAACACCATAGACGCCAGGCCTCATTATGCTGCTAGACGTGTCATCTATTGGGTTTGTGTATAACTCCGTAGCGAAAATCGAGTAAATTAAAAGGCAAAATATTGAGCAACAAAGGCGATTTTCATGAACTAAATATACTCCATTTTGTTCAATGATTTTCTACCATCTCTCCACGAGCATCATTATCCCTCTTTCATAGAAATTTTGAGATTTTTGGGCAAAAAAATCATCCATGTGGTTTTTGAGGAAACTAAAGATTTTGTTGTTCAAATTGTTCTGTAGCACCCAGAACAAGTAATAGTCTGAAGGTGCAAGGTCCGAACTATACGGTGGGTGCACCAAATTATCCCACCTATGTCGCACTAACTTTTGTCGTATAATCAGTGAAACTTGTGATTTAGTGTTATCCCACTAGAACATAAGAACCTTTCTGTTCGTCAATTCGAGTTGCTTCTGATCGATTTGTTACGTTCTCGGTACCTCGGGAACTACGAATTCCTTTTTTTTATATGATTATTTTATTATATGATTGGGAATATTTGATATGATTTTTTTTATATGATTGGAAAGCAGACGGACTTTGGGCAAGCGCTATTGTACAAAAGATAAGATTATACGCCGCCAAATGCGTCATGTGTTTCCCAAGGCGTCTATCATCTTTTCTGCCTTTACAGACTCAGGCCCTTCGATGGGATTACGATCTTGGGATCGTTTATGGCATCTTGATAATGTTAAGAGTTTCCTAGGTATCCATTTCTCTACCTTCCTTATTCGTTTTCCACAGAAACTGCTCTAATTGGCGATCGTCATCTACCACTCCACAAAATCTTCCATATAAAAACCTTACTCTTTGGCCACTCCACAGTCAGTGTCAGTTAATCATTCAGTGTCAGTTAATGTCAGTCAGTCAGTGTCAGTCAATGAGTCAGAGGCAGTCAGTCAGTCAGTCAGTCAGTCACTTTTTCTTCTGCTACTGAGTAACGCTCTGTGCAAGTCGGGATTTCTTATGTGAACTATTTCTTTCGGTATTCCGGAATTCCATAAATCCTATACATCACGATCAACGAACCCATATTCTACGTACTATTCACCACAGTTGATTCATCTAAATCGTAAGTCTCTCTTTTCATATTTTAAATAAGACTTTTAATTATTTTAATCAAAGCTCCAATCCCACTTCACTCCTCAAAACAAACACATACACTGCGTAATTATTATCTTCCTTGTATTATATAATGATGTTTTTCTCGCCATACCGATACATTAAACATTCTTGTTACGTTAAATCCGATTGTATTATATTAAGTTATATGGATTACTTTTGGATTGTATTATATTAAGTTAAATGGATTACTTAATCTTACTTTACTCTTCATTTTGTATTTGTATTATTCCAATTATACTGATTTATAAAAATTTATTTAATGTTAACCCATATATCTCATTATTTAACTTTGGCTAACCTTTTCATCTTTTAAATATTGAATCTTTTAACACATCGCTCAATAAGTCTCCGGTCTAGCTAAGAAAAGCAAATTTTTTTTTAGAAATTTGACTTTATTCGTTAACATACTCTCCTTCAAGAGTGATACATTCATTCCAACGCTCCTCTAACTTTTTGATGCCTTTTTTGTAGAACGATTTGTCTTTGCTCTCAAAATAGGCCTCAGTTTCGGCAATTACTTCTTTATTTGAGCCAAATTTCTTTCCCTGGAGCATCTTTTTGATGTCTGCAAGAAGCCAGTAGTCGCTGGGGGCCAGATCTAGAGAGTACGGTGGGTGAAGAAGCAATTCGAAGCGTAATTCATTCAATTTAATCATCGTTTTCATTAACTTGTGACACGGGGAATTATCCTGGTGAAACAGTAATTTTTTCTTTTGCATGTGAGGCTATTTTCTCTTGATTTCTATACTCAATCAATCCAATAATTCCATGTAATATTCGCTATTGATAGTTTTACATTTCTCGAGATAGTCGATGAACAAAATACCATACGCGTCTCAAAATACGTATAACCCATAACCTTTCCAGCTGACTTTTGAATTTTTGGTCGTTTTGGACGACTTTCGCCGGCTGCTGTCCACTCAGCTGACGATCTTTTTAATTCAGGTGTGTAGTAGTGGATCTGTGTTTCATCCATTGTCACATTTCGACGCAAGAAATCCTTTTTATTTCGTTTGAAGCTCTAAACAGCGCTCTGAATCGTCGACGCGTTGTTATTTTTGGTCCGGTATAAGCAAACGCGGCACCCATTTCGAAAGCAACTTACGCAAATTATCAATTACTCAAATTTTCGTGTATAATTGTAAACACACTACCTTCTGATATTTTTAACCCTTTTAGTGCCGGGAGCCGATATATCGGCTCCTGCTACACCGGGAGAAGTGCCAGAGCCGATATATCGGCCCGCACCTTGTAGCGCTTTACTATTCGCATTGCGAGAGATCTCTATCAAAATAAATTTAAAATACGTTATAAATAGTCTAATTTCATTACGAGAGAATTAAAATAAATAATTTTTAAATATTGCTTTTTGTTTGGTTTTTATGAGCCTTTTATCAAATCCTAGTAAAATCGGCCGATTATCTTCGCATAAGCACCTCTTTTTCGCCCGGCACTAAAAGGGTTAAGGTGTCAAGTATCTCACGCAACTTTACTTTACAGTCTTTCAAAATTATTTTGTAGACTTTTTTTAATGTTTTCCGGAACAACTGCCGATTTTGGGCGACCAGAGCGTTCAGCATCATCGGTGTTTGTACGACCGCGTTTAAATTCAGCATACCAGTTAATAATAGTTGATTTCCTTGGTGCAGAGTCTCCGTAACGCTTATCAAGTCACTCTTTGGCTTCAACAGTATTTTTTCCCATCCAGAAACAATGTTTAATCAACACACGTAATTCTTTATTTATTGTTTTGAAAATTACAAAACTGGGGTCACTAAAACCATTGTAACCTGTAGACTAATTATCAGAATGTCATGAAATTTTGACATGTATCATTTGAAGGATGCTACTATCCAGAAATCATATGGGTCTGTAAACAGTGTTGCCATATATGCGTCAGACCGGAGACTTATTGAGTGATGTGTTACAATGACTTTTCTCATCAATTTACCACTATTATTAATTCATGTGAAAACTAAATTATGTTATTAGTATAATTAATAAACTGTTTTATTCAAAATGTCTTAAATTTAACTGAGTTGTTAAAATTATTTATTCGTTTCCTTTCATTTACTTAAATCTGAATTCCCCTTTCAACACTCTCATACGGCCCTATCCCAGGTAAAGAGATTAAGTTCTTTGACCTGAGGATAAAAGACCATCTAACGTACATTCTGTGAATCGGAATAAATGGGCCTCTCCGTACTTTGACCTGATCTGCAGACCTACCAGTATGTTTAGGCC